TGACATCTATAGAGGGCTATATAAGGTAGTATTACAAAAATTTCAAGGATGGAGTTTTCAGGCAACTAAGTTCTTTTCAAAATATAAAGAGCTATTACTACTCTAAACTTTTGTAACCTATAGCTACTGGCATAAACTAAAAAGTTTTATGATCAAAGAATATATCTCTCTGATTTTGTACCTCTAATACTCAGGGGCGGATGCAGACAGTGAGTTACGAGCATGGACAGAGCTAGGGGACGGAAGGGGTTCATCCGAACCCACTTCGCTGAAAATTATACTATATATCTAAGGTTAAAAATAATTTTATGCACATATATTAGTTGTTGAATCCCCTTGATTTCTTCGCGTGCTTAGGTGTTTATTTTTTTGAATCCCCTTGGTCAAAATCCTACATGTGCTGCTGGTTACGAGCCATGTATGAGTATTATTAGATTTATGAGATAAGTACAAACTATTGATTTCGAACCCAATAGACCAAATGAGTTGTGGTAGAATCCATAAAGTTCAAATCCTAGATTCGCATATGCAATAGTAGTCACTCAATATTCAAAACATCATACTACTCAATATCCAAAACATCATACTACTCAATAAGCTTCCATACTTGCAAACCAGCTAATAGCCTTGACATATTTCTTTAATCATTTCTATTTGCTAATTATCATTACATTACAACAGAGTCATAAACAGAATAATAACAACAACAACAATGAGAAAGATCGAGTTCATAATTAGTCCATAAGAAGACTAGAGCAACAAGCATCACGTTAATCAAAGATTTAATTCAGATGATTCTGCGGTTTTATGTTGATAAGGAATAATCAAATACAGTATAGGATTTAACATTGCCAGATACATACCGATTCAGCAATCACGAATTTAAACGGCGGTAACGAAATCAGTGGTGAATAATAGAGTACCTGAATAGCTTTGATCGAAAAATGTGGCGGCGACGCCGATCGGCAAGGTTACGATGCTACCGCGGAGAGCAGAAGGTGAAGCGATGGTTGGATTTGAAGAGTTTCTAATTTTTTTTTCCTCCCCTAGGTTTGAAGAGTTCTTTTGTTTGCCGCCTTTTATTTGATTACATTCCCGCCTCCTTTTTTGCTTTCTTTTTATTTTTTGTTTCTTCTTTTTTCTTTTCTTTTTTTGCTCTCCTCTGGCTCGAAAAATAGCGACGTTTGGCTAATTCTTTGGAATATCAAATCAAACAACACTTCTAGGGGTTGTTTGTTTATTTGTTGTTATGCAAGGATTATTATGGAGAGATTGTTTATTCTATGATTAATACTGAAGAGGTTTTATACAGTGACTACTAATATATACATACTTGAATATCTTGCTTTTAAAGGTTGCTCCTTTTGTTTTCGAATTGTTTAATCTCGCAATGCTAATATACGTATTCGTATTTTATATTTTATCTCGTATAAAATAATGTACATAGATTCTCATATAACTTAATGCATGTATTATAATATTGCCAACCAAATCTTGCATTGGTTATACAGAGATTACTTTTTCTCAAGCGGTCAATCAAAATACTGCATTATCTTTGTGAGATTTTATATTGAATTAATTATTACCGTCGACCAAACAACTCCTTATAATACTAAACAATTTCCATTAGTTCAATGACATTAGAAATGGACTTGTATTTTGTGCTTAGAACTTTCTATAAAATATCCTATCACCTCATAAAAGTTTCAAAATTACCTAGTTACTGAAGGATTTTGGGGCCATAGAGTTGCAGTAAAATTTTGAAACAGAAATATTTAACTTAAGATCAAAATTTCTACCTCGGTGTTTGGAATTTTATTAGATTTTGTAGCAGTACCAAAATGAGTAAAAAGTTACTACAATATTATTTTTGTTGAGGCCTGAGGGCAACTAATTGAGCATAAGGATCCCTCATTTGTTTTAGAATTTTTCCTCTTAAAAAGAGATTATCGACTTCCAAATGTATCAAATATAAACTATCTAAGGGGCAGAAAATAGAGCCATTTGGATGATTGGAAGAAAAAGATTTGAAATTCGATAAACAATGGATCATCTCTATCCAGTTTGGCTTGAATTAAATCCTTTGATCTAATTGATATTTTTTAATAAACTGGTTTTATCAATCACTATTAGTATGGGTGTTCATGTTTCGGTTTGGATCATTTTTTTCTTTAAAAAAAAACAAATCAAGTAAGTCGGTTTTCAAATATTGGAACCAAACCAAACCAATTAAGTCGATTTTTTATCGATTCGGTTTATGTCGGTTTTTATCGATTTTTCGATTTTTTCGATTATTTATCGGTTATTCTTAAGTAAGAGACATACACTACCAAACACATATTCCGACGACTACATTTTGAACGTAACACTATCACTATCAAACCAATTGCTCTTTGAGAAATCTATCATTTATCAAGATATATTGATGATAATTGAATCAAATAGTAATGAATAATTTAAGCACTCAATTAGAAATAGATTATTTATAACATGAAATTGATTCTTGTATTTAGCTTAAAAAACTACCAATCAAACTAGAGTATAAAGGCAAAGAACTATATTATTATAATAGCAAAGAACTAAAAGTGCAAACGATTAAACATGTACCATAAAATTTTAGAAACTTTATATACAAATATACATATATAAGTGTAATAACAGATTTTAAATAACTACTTCTATAGTCATTTTGTTTCGGTTATTTTTTGATTAAAACCAAAAATCAAACCAAATTTGATCGGTTATAAAAATTCAAAACCAAAACCAAACCAAACTAAAAAAGTCTCGGTTTTTTTATCAGTTTGGTTCGATTTTCGATTTAGTTCGATTTTTCGGATTTTTATGAACACCCCTATCCATCAAAATTTAATTACTCATACACAAAAAAAAAATGTTAAGAGTTAAAAGTGTTAATCATAATCCATTACTTTGAGTTTGACAAATTGATTATTTTACTCAATTATCGAATTTCACTTGTCTGTTTAACTAACAGCAGCTTGCTTAATTCAAATCAGATTACTGGGCTGCAGCTTTTCTTCTAAGAAGCTCCACTATCACTTCAAATACCAGCAAAGACAAAGCATGCTAGAGATTTCATCTCATTTGTCTAAGCATTGTGTGCAGAATTTGTAAGTGCGTACAAATTGACATAAAACTATTATTATTAACAAAAAAGAAAGAAAGAAAGAAAGTAGGGGTATTATCACTTTTAATCTACGCCAGAAACTATTTATATCCGGTAGCCGAAAAAGTGTATAAATTTTGTATAAATTTTGTATATAACATACAGAATGTATAAAAGTCCGATCTATATCTTTCAGCAACTGAACATATATGTACAAAAAATATATAAATTTTATACATTTTTTCGACTATTATTTTTACAACGGTTATACAGTGTCATTTTTTCAAGAAAGAAAGCACCCCGCTGTAACGACTAAAGCGAGAAGGTCCAAAATTATAGTTATGGTTCATGAAATAGTTTATTTTATCGTTCGTTCGTTTAAAGTTGGGCTCAATCAAACTAATTTCGTTTAAGAAAGAATTTACTTTTGCTTGGACAATATTAATATTTGTAGAACAAAAGAAAAAGGTACAAATTCAAATTAGCATTACGAAAACGATTGACCGAGGTCGAGCGATGACAACGCGAGACTTACCTTCTTTTCAACTCTTTAAGAGCTAGAAGAAGTGTAACTATATATATACCCAACAAATAATTTTTTCTTCTCCAATACGAGACAATGTTCCCTTGTAAAAGAAGAAAAATCAATATTTTATTTTTTCCTCCATTTCTCATTCACCTCAACTTTGAACTAAAAACCCACCGGTAAGAGCGTACGAATTGACATAAGGGTTCATGAAATAGCTTATTTTTGTCATTCGTTTAAAGTTGGGCTCAATTAAACTAAATTCGTTTAAGAAAGAATTTACTTTTGCTTGGACAATATTAATATTTGTAGAACAAAAGAAAAAGGTACAAAATCTTTATAAAAAGAAAGAATAGAGTGGCTACTTTTCAATAATAAAAATATTTTAGAACTTTTGAATAAACCTATTCAATTCTTCATAATAGTAAATAAAGTTTTCTACAACAAAATCTAAGGTAATATATTGCAAACAATGGCTAACATCTTATTCACTTGAATTAAACATTGCAAGTATAAGTAATGATCTTAAAGGCTTTATATCTTGTAAGCATACTACATTATAAACAACAAAGTACAAAACAAAAGGTAGCACTACACTAAAACCAAATATTAATAAGAGGCCTTAAACTTTTAATTATATATAAATATATATTAAAAAAGTTTAGGTCTCTTATTAAAGTTTGACTTTAGGTTATTAATTTTATTGAGACGACCATGTTCCTCCCCCATTATCCCACATTACCATAGCTTAGCATTTACCTATTTATAGTTACCAAACACCCATTTGACACTATTATTATTGTGGTATTGCTTTATTGCAAGAAAATAACATCTATTAGTACTACTTCAATTAATAATTTGTTTATTAGTTGTAGAAAATTGAGCACCCTCTTTACTATTTTGCTTAATCTGGTAGTAGTTGTTTTCTTTATTGTGTCTGTTTTAATTTTAGCTTTGACGCTTGTTCAGTTCTTCCATCCTTTTGATTTTTTATTTTCTGATTGAGAATTTTCATGAATTTTTCAGCATATTTTGCTTTGGTACTGGCTGTGTGTGGTTGATCTATTGAAACTGAAGTAGGTTTTGCTTGAATGTTTCAGTCATGATTTCTTTGTTTCAATCATTTTCTTCTAGTTCATGGTTTTCAACCTGTTTTGCATTGTGGGTACAAATGTAACTTTTTGGAACTGAATTGTTTTCAATAAGCATAAATTAAGCTCCAAAATGGAGCCGTTAGTGAAAAAGGGCAATATTAGCTCATATTACTAATGGCAAGGGTCCGATTGAGCCCAACGGATGGCAAAAGAAAACCATTTCGCAAACCACAAGGCAGTTTCAGACCTTTTCCCATAACAAAATGATGCAAAATTCACCTAGGGACACCAATCACTTTCCTGAGTTTAACATCAAGAACTCTATATTTTTATAGAGCGATTGCTTCTTTCACCCAATAAAATTTACATAAATGCATGAAAGACACATTTCCAAGAGTGATCTAGTGAGGCCAAAATCATGCCAAAGTACAATTGTTTGCTATAAGACAATGTCATGTTTCTATGTAGAGTACAACATACCGTCCTAGTTTATAGATGGAATAGACTTCTAAACCACATGAACTCAGTTTTTCTCGCGACTCATAAATGACGGTCAGTCAAGAGGCACTCAGTTTTCCCCGCGACTCATGCTCCAAAACTCAACTTCATACTCCAGTACACGTATAACAATTGCCTCAGCTTTTGAGATAATATCTTCTGGTGACTTCTCAAGACGACGATTAGCTATATCTTGAAGAGAACCACAATACCGACCAAAATCATCATTGCCCCATCTTTGACAAGTCTCTTTTAGTTCTTCTGAAGTTTTAGAGCCATCTGCTAAACAATGCGCATAACTTTCTTGGTAGACAGCTTCAATTGCCCAAAAAGCTGTAACGGCAATAGTATATTCTACATCATCGCTCATTAAGCTTTCCAAAAATCTAGGATAAAAAGAACACAAGCAATCAAAAGAAAATTCACATGAAGGACTTGATTAAACACTGTATATAAGGAGAATGGAACGACAAAACATGTCTTTGATATTGGTTTGGCTTACTAGGAAGGAGAAGGTAAGGGGATTGCTTAGGCACAAGTAAAACATGATCCGTATTTCATATCCTATCTTTGTTATAAATAAAACACATTACAGACTGATTCTAATGCTTGAACCCTTTAAAGTTAGCTTATTGTTCCCATATTAACAACAAAAGCAACTGCATACGATATCAATTAACTTTATCAGAGAAGCAAAACTAGGAGCTTGAATACAAGTTGAGGGGATCCTAAAAAATCTATCAATTTGACTAGTTAGCCAAACTACATAAAAATCTTTAATATAAACCAATCGGGGCTAGAATGCATCTTCAGATATTTTCAAATCAGAATTGTTAAATTCTCAACAGCTTTCTAAGAAAAAGGATGACTATAATAGATAGAAATAAGACAACCTATATCATGTTGAACACAAAAACATAACAAAGGCATAGAGATTATAGTATTGGGACAACTAAGAACCACGAAAATGAGATTGGCCTAATTACAAAAAATGCGTAAATATCTTGTATTTATAATAGTGCACTTTAAACCTGCAATATTCTAGGTTGGCCTTTTGAGGAACAATATTGGACAGTGAAACATTCCATTTAGATGCTTCTCTCTTGAACCATGATATCTCATCATTCAGTGCCGCAACACCGCCTAAGATAACCTCTATGTCTGAATCATCGTCCGACTCCTTCCAAGCTTTCAGAAGTAAACTTGCTACGAAAGGGACAAAGGCTCTAACGAATATATAATCTTGCCCCTGCATCCAACTTCTAATCTTTAACTAACAGAAAACTGCATGAGCTTGCAAGGAAGAAACCGAACATGACATGGAAGATATTTCAGTTGCAGAAACAAAAAAACAGAAGCAAAGTGTCACGCTGGTAGAATATGGTTAAAGCTCAAATACAGAAACAAACAGAGCCCCATCAAGTCTGGTTGTGAGTTCGCTGAACATGTGGCAGCAACTATCAGGCAGATTCAGGATTAGGATTTAAAATTATATGGGTTCAATCTTTAAGGTTCTTAGCATTGAACCCATTGTATGTTTAAAGTTATGGGTTAATAACTACCAACTTTTTGCAATTTTAGCGGATCTTTATACATAAATTTATGCTCTGCATCTAAAGTACTGGGTTCGGATGAACCTGATACCACCACTTTACAGCCGCCTCTGCAACTATGGCTGCCTAAATGTATGTGGTTGAGAGTTTGTTAGGAGATACGCATTAGATTAACATAACAGTAAAGCGCCATCAAGCTCGCATTGAATCCAATTTTTTAGGCCGCGAACAAAAGATATTGAAGTTATCTATCACTACATTCAATTGAGATGAACAAAAATTCCTGTACATAATCAAACAAAGATAATTAAAGGCTGTAGTATCGCCAAAACTATTTAACTTTGTCGAACAGCAAATTGAGTCAGAGCAAGCACTAAGTAAGAGGGATTATTATAAAATTACTGTATCTTAAACCTATTTATTTGCAGTATTTTACTTGTTCTTCACCTAGTCAAAGATCTTTATTTCTAATTTTACTAGGAGTAGATAAACTTTCTCTCCTTATAGCATAGAGTCTACTCAACTAGTTGGTGACCGGTGACCAGGAGGTCACGGGTTGAAAATAGACTCTCGGTGAAATGCAGAGTAAGAGTAAGGTTGCGCAGAAGAGACCTNATATATATATATATATATATAGGTTAATCTTAAGAAATATAAAGCAAATTATTTTAAAATACTTGTAATTTAAGAAAAAAGAATACCAGCCATCTTTTGAAGGCAGAGAGTTGAACAGACCCATCACGGATGCTAAGGGTAAATGGGTGTCTTGTGGCAGCGGTATATAGCTGATGGTGTTGATTAAGCCATTTTTTGATCATCGGAATATCTTTTTTAGCTCCTTCCATTTCCTACTCGTTCTTCTTTCTTTGCCACTTGAGACATTTTGCTTTTCCTTTTGGAAGGGTCAAGGGTGGAGAATTCGAGGTAGCGCGGATTTGGAAATGGGGCGGGTTTAGGGCAGGCAACCCTTAATGGGTCTAAAAAGATTTTAGTGATCGAATTTTTCTGAATCAAAGTTGAGGAGTGTTTCTTTTTAGAATTATAGCAAATGTTACCATACCTCTTTAAATGTTATGGTTAGAACTAGCACTAATTAATTTGTGGACAATTGCTTCCAAATTTTAATTTGTGAATATTTGCTTTCTAAGTTTCAAGTTAGTCTTGAGAAAGCTCTAGTGTTAAGATTTTCGACTCTAGTATTAAGACCCCGTTTGTCCATAATTTTTTTTTCCTTTTTTTAAAAAAAATAATTCAAAAATACATTTGTCCATAAAAGTTTGCAAGTTTTTTAAAAAAAGTTCAATCAAAATTTTTAAAAAAACTTTTTTCTCCACTTACAAGATTGCAATATTTTTTAAGTAAAATACATGTCCAAACATAATTTCAACTTAACTTCAAATAATACTTTTTAATCAAAAATTATATTAATTTTTATATCCAAACGCCTACTAAGTCTCGATTGTTGGTATGAACCTTATAATAATTATCATGTCTAACTCAGAATAAGTACGGTAAGAGGACTTAAGAATCACCAGTACATACAGTTTTGATAGGGTAAAGAGCATTCTCATTTAATCGGGTCAATTGATTTTTTGGCCTTTCATAAACTTATTTTTAATTTTATGACCTTACCTCTTTTTTTACAGGAGATTTACTTTTACACGTAAGAGATCTTTCATTTACACATAAAAGATCTAAAAAGATATTTTTTTAAATTCAACATTATAAAAGATCAAGAAGATCTAAAAACTCTCTTTAATCCAACATGAGGGCTCAAGAATCAATTGGTACCCACAAATTACAATTTTGATAGTGTATAGGATATAGTGGGTTCGTTACATCTACAATCAAAATAGAAACTGAACATTTCATGGTTCACAATTTTCAAGCCTTGTCCTAGCCATTGTTTAAATAATAAATTATTTAATTTAACCATTGTTTAAACTAAATTTACTGGAAAATCCAAGGGAAAATGATGTAAAGGGAAGCCACAACCTCACTATTAACCAACAACACAGTACACTACTAATATACTCATGCTCCAGTACATTAATTATACACCAAAATACATTCCTTTTTTGACTCGATTTGTACATGCTGTACAGGGAAATTAGTAGATCAACATATTAAGTAACAACAACTCGATAAACATTGGATTATAACTGTTGCGGAAGCCGAATATATATAGAGTGATTAAATCACAACTACTGTATCTAAAGGTAGTTAATAAATAGTAAATGCGACAATAAATCAAAAGAACACCAGAAATTAACGAGGTTCGGCAAAAATTTGATTTTTGCCTAGTCCTCGGACACAATCAACTCAAATTTTATTTCACTCCAAAAATACAAGTGAAATACTATAGGAGAGAAAGAAGATTCAAATGCCTTAGGAGATAAGAAGGCAAGTGAGAGATGTTTACAAATGAACAAAACCCTTGCTATTTATAGAAGGGAAATAACCTTAATAATGTCATGCATGACATCATATTAAGTGTGATCATGCAATATAAATGCATGAAAAATGCACCTACCAATTTCTTCCGAAAAAGAGGTTTCAAATGTTCACACTAGTTCACATTAATCTTGTCAAATTCAACAAATCTCCACCTTGGCAAGATTTCACTTTTTTAATTTTCTATCACTGATAAATTTTGATTGTGTCTTCAACTTCAATCTTCAAAGTTCAACAATGTTGATCAAGTTCAAACAATGTTGAAACTTGATCGCAGTCACTATTTTTGTTAGCATATCAGCAGGGTTGTCTGTAGTCCTAATTTTCTGCACTATGACTCCACCTTCTTCTATAATATCTCGTACAAAGTGATATCGAACATCAATATGCTTCGTCCTTGCATGATAAACTTGATTCTTGGCTAATTGGATAGCACTCTGACTATCACAAAATAGTGTGATGCTTTCTTGACCAATACTAAGCTCCCTAAGCAACCCTTGAAGCCAAATTGCCTCCTTTACAGCCTCCGTAATTGTCATGTATTCTGCCTCGGTAGTAGACAAAGCAACTATTGACTGCAAAGTAGACTTCCAACTAACTGGTGCATTTGCAAAAGTGAAAACATAACCAGTAGTTGATCTACGCTTGTCCAAATCACACGCATAATCTGAGTCACAATATCCAACCAGACACTGACTATCTTCCTGCTCAAAAATCAATCCAACATCTACAATATTACAAATATACCGTAGAATTCATTTCACAGCTTGCCAATGCTCCTTTCCTGGATCATACATATACCTGCTTACAACTCCGATAGCATATGAAATATCAGGTCTTGTGCAAACCATTGCATACATCAAGCTACCAACGGCATTCGCATATGGCACTCTTAACATATACTCTCGTCAGCTTCATTCTTCAGCGACATAGCAGCACTAAGCTTAAAGTGAGGAGCAAGAGGAGTGCTAACCGACTTCTTATTCTCATTCATGCCAAATCGATCTATTACTCTCTTCAAGTATTCTTTCTGAGATAGATAGAATTTCTTTGAATGTCTATCTCTTTTTATCTCCATGCCAAGAATTTTCTTCGCCTCACCCAAATCCTTCATCTCAAACTCCTTTCTTAGTTGAATCTTCAGCTTCTCAATTTCCTCTTGACTTTTGGAAGCTATCAATATATCATCAACGTATAGGAGAAGATATGTGAAGGATCCGTCTTCAAGCTTGTGCAAATACACACAATGATCGTATTTGCTTCTTCTATACTTTTGCCGCAACATAAACTTGTCAAATCGTTTGTACCATTGTCTAGAAGATTATTTTAATTCACNTTCAATCCGTACAACGATTTTTCAAGTTTGCACACCATATTTTCCTTTTCAGCAACTTTGAATCCTTCTGGCTGAGTCATGTAGATTTTCTCTTCCAAGTCTCTATGTAAAAATGCAGTTTTTACATCTAACTGAACTAGTTCCAAATTCAACTGTGCTACCAAAGCCAACAAAACTCTAATGGAGGAGTGTTTCACGACTGGAGAAAATACCTCATTGTAATCAATTCCCTCCTTTTGAGCGTACCCTTTGGCCACCAATCTTGCTTTGTAGCGAACATCTTCTTGGTTAGGAAATCCTTCTTTTTTTGCAAATACTCATTTGCACCCAATTGCTTTCTTGCCCTTCGGGAGATTCGCCAATTTCCATGTGCAATTCTGATGAAGGGACTGCATTTCTTCATTCATGGCAATCATCCACTTATCTTCTTCTGAACTTTGGACTGCATCTTTATAAGTGGTATGAACACCATTAGCTACAATTGAGGCTGCACAAGCCACAGTTTCTATGAGACGAACATGTTTCTTTATTGTTTTTTTTGGCTTGCTGGTTGCTATTGATTCAAGTTATTGTTGGAGTTCCTAAGTTGGAATCTCCCCTTCTACTGACTCTTCTTCCAGGGGAAAATCTTTTATCGTTTCCTCATTTTCTCCCTGTGTTGGGAAAATTAATTTTCCTTCAAACTCCACCTGCTTTGAAGCACCATCAGTTTGTTTGACATCTTCAACTGTCACCTTATCTGTTATGGCAGATTCATCAAAGGTAACATTTCTGCTAAATATAATTTTTCTTGTCTCTGGACACCATAATCGGTATCCTTTGACTCCAGAAGTAATCCCCATAAATATAGCTTTCTTTGCCCTCGGATCCAATTTTGATTCTTTCACATGATAGTATGTAATTGAGCCAAACACATGCAAAAAATTATAATCTTCAGCAGGTTTTCCATACCATTTTTCAAATGGTGTCTTGCCTCCAATAGCGGCAGATGGTAGACGATTAATGAGGTGGCATGCATATGTTATTGCCTCAGCCCAAAATTCTTTGCCCAAGCCAGCATTGGACAACATACACCGAACCTTCTCCAGTAAAGTCCGGTTCATATGTTCTGCCACTCCATTCAGTTGTGGACGACCCCAAATTCCCTCTGTAGGACGTCATAATGGCACCTAGTCTCTAAGACTAGGTAAGCCTATCAATACGGAATAATAATAAATATCTGAAATAAATAAACTACAATTCAAACAATTTCAACTCCCAAAACCTGGTAGAAATAAATCACAAGCTTCTAAGAATTTATTCTCAATGTCTTTATGTGTCAAGGCCTAAATAAAATATAAGGAAGCAACATAAAATGATAGAAGAGGACTCCGGAGTCTGCGGACGCTAGCAGATATACCTCGAAGTCTCCGTGCGCAGATAACTCATTGACGTCTAGGCTGATAAAATGTACCTGGATCTGCACAAAAAGATGTGCAGAAGTGTAGTATGAGTACACCACAACGGTACCCAGTGAGTGTCAAGCCTAACCTCGGTAGAGTAGTGACGAGGTCAGGTGAGGCCCTATTGGAATATAATAATGG